TTAGCCAGGAGACAGCAAAATGGATCATCTCCAGATCTTAGTGTAGAACTGTTTCACACTAGGCCAAAAGCAAACTCTTTTTCATTGTAACTACTAAAAACTTACTTGTTTTGCATAGCTATGTGGCTTGTTAGCTTGGGCTTCATCTGTACATGAGAATACGGCCCCAGAGTAGGTCAGGCCTGTTGGGAAAGGCCGTGAGTGCTGCCTGGATTCTCTCCTGCCTCTCCTCTGGAGGGTTTTAATGATCTAGGGGTGTCATAGCTCTCTTTTATACAATAAAATTGAAGGAAATTGGACAGTGAGGAGCTCAGTTGTGGACATAATGAGGTTGATGCAGCAGGTGAAAAGGAGGCTGTGTTTTGCTATGTATTAAGTGATGGTTTAATATATAACAGTTGTATTTAGCCTAAATGGTAAAATTTTGCATCCTTTTGGCCTTGTTTAAACTTATGAAATATCTTGTGAGGATAGCATCTTAATGAGGCAGCAAGACACGATAAAATTTATGATAGAGAGGCTGAATGTTTTTCCCAAGCAATAAATGCAAAGCAGAAACAAGCAATAAATGCGAAGCAGAAACCCCTCTTGGCTTCCCTTGGCATAACACCCTCACTGAGGGAAGGTGTGAAGTCCAGTCTGTCTGGGTTACAATTGCCAATGCTGAAGAGTTGTAGAGTGGTTGAGTCCCTTGTGCAGTTTAAGTGACTGGATTTACCTGTTTTCCCTTGTGAGGCTGCTATTGTATTCAATCACTGATTTTGCTGTTATGCTGACTGTGCAGGGAAATGAAGATCTCAGTCTGGTGGAAGCAGATCAGGAAGTCTTGCCCAATATTCTGCCATCTAAAGTTACAGAAGTTGAAGGCTATATTCGGATGTATGAAGAGATGCACAGGTTGAAAGGAAAGGTAAGAAGAATGAGTGAGAGATTCCTGTATGAATCGTAGGAGAGCTGTAGAATGAAAGTGTAACAATGCTCTGGTAGAAATAACAGGATAGTCGTTTGCTCTCTGTGGCTTAGGATAATCACAAATGGACTGCGGTGGCGCACTTAAAGCTTTTTAATTTGTATTTCCTGCTGTGCAAATTCTAGTGATTCCTACATTGTCTTTTTTGGTACTCCTGCAATCTACAGGAGGAGCTAAGGCAACGTCAGGAGCAGCAAGAGCAGATGGTGAGGGCAGTGTACGACCTGGCAAGCGAACAGCTGAAGCGCTTCGATGAACTGAAGGAGCTAAAGCAACATCAGGAATTTCAAGATTTGCGGGAAGTAATGGAGAAGAGGTGAGATTAGCTCTAATATGTGGTATCCTTAAAATGTTCTAGGTGACTCTCGTTTTATAGATTAATCAAAGTAGGGGTTAATTTCTGGGCCTGATCATCTGTCTTGGTCATTGAGCTCAAAAATTTCATCTGCTGCTTTTCTTCTGTTAACTCTCCTGTTACTGGTAGTCTTTCAGAGTAGATCTCTGGCTACTTCTGAGGCTTCAGTGGTTAGAAGTCTATATTTATCTGACACTTAACATTCCTTTAGTTTATCTTAAAAGTGGCTTACATGTGTCTGTATTTTGTTTTCTTCACGTCTTGAGTAATCATTTTCTGTCTTTGTGTGTATGTTAGCTCCAAGGAAGCCCAGGGACAGCAAGAGAAGTTGAAAGAAGAACATCGACACAGAGCAAAGGTCTGAGACTTGTAAGAGTTTTCTTTCATAAGAGAGAGCAAGTGCTCATTGGGAACGGGAAAGACTAATTTATACTTCTGTATATCTGACATCCCTGGAGAGAGATGTATTTTATGGTGCTGTCCTAGACACCTGCTACATCACTGTGGAAATACAGTTAAGGCACATGCATTGTAGGAGCACAACAGTGGAGCTTTTATCTTTGCAGTAACAGTTACAGTCAAAGTTTGCACTTGAATCTAGAGCTTTGCTCTCAGTATGTGACCAGTCAAGATGTTATTTTTAATGGATAAGGCTTTATTCTTTAGAGATTTGTTTACCTTTGCTACTTCTATAATGATAGACTCTTTTCTGTCTTATAAATCCAGTGTTCGGATGTCCCCATGAATATCCTTACAACTTTGTCTATTTTATTTGAGAGTTACTTTGTGTTTTGTGTTATCCTGGCTTCTAGGGTATCAGACAATCCAAGTTTTCATCTGAATCTGCTTTTGTTCTGCTCTGTGTCTCCACGGATGCTATAGGCTGCAAAATTTGTCATTCATACTATTGCAGTACTAGTACTGCTGTGCTGGGAATTCAGACCAGGACTAGCGAACAATTATTATATATTTTCTTTCTCCTATATGCAGTTTTCCTTCATGGAAGTAGGAAAGATCTGTAAAACTGGAGTTACTAAAATATTTTGTTTCTGTTGTGTCTTTCTCTTCCCAGGTATTAAACCTAAAGCTGCGCGAGGCAGAGCAGCAGAGGCAGCGTCAGGAGGAGCTGGAGCGTCTGCGCAAGGAGGAAGGCCAGGAGAGGTTGCGTCGCCTTTATTCCATCCAGGAGGAGGTGCTGCAGCTTAACCAGCGGATTGATCCCAATTATAGACACAAGGACCTGCCGAGGATCGATTTTTCTGTGTACAGTAATCGTGGCAACCAGATCTGTGGGCTGGTGTCAGGACTCATCCGCACCACTAGTGAGGTGAGGGCTGATTTGAACTTTGGTTGTTGTTGCTTCTTAAAATTTGCTGGAGTTGTCTTCAAAGGTATCTTGTATGAGGTCATTACATAAGTTTTTAGATGTGCTTGCTATAAAGCAGCTAACTTCAAAGGAGAATTCTTTTCCATTGCACTCTAGCTGTTCCTTTCAAGATGGCTTATAAAAATACATGAGGATTTGTACAGAAGAAAAAATGAATGTTAAGATAATATGATCTATTGATGCTGTAGAGCTGTGTTTGGAGACAGCCACGGAATTAGGGTGGTTTGAAACTGTTCAAGAGGAGTACTGAGTGTGCTGGGATACTGCTATACTCGCAAGCTTTTCCCAGCAAGTAGGTTTCCTTGACAATTCTTGTCTATGTAAAAGAGGAACACAGAACTTAAAAAAAAAAAAAAAAACCACTCTAATAAGGCTAATCATCTGTCCTAGTGAGTCACAAGTCACAGCTGTCTCCCTGCAGAGGAAGCAGTCTGGAATTTGCACTGAGGTCCCCTTATATACATTAAAGGTGCTACCCATTTTTATTGTCTTACAAGGACGAGCCATGGACTAAGACCAATTATCATTTGCTTTGTATACAAATAAATGAGAAAAGGTCTTTTCACCAAAGATGATAAAATGTATAGTTGGTTCCTGGACTGCCTAAAGGCTAATGCTTTAAAAGCTCCTTGCTTCTGCTCTTGATCTGTGGATTGCCTTTTCTGTTTCTTGGTAGAGAGGCTTCCCTACTCAAGCAGATGTGGCCAATACTGAACGAGCACTGCAGGAAATGCGAGGGTTGATATCTAGCATGCAGCAAGAAATTGCTGCAGCTGTGGAAGAAAAAAAGAGGAAAGATGAAGAGGAGCAGAGAGAGAAGCAGAAAGAGTTGCTGAAAAAAGAGCAGGTGACGGCTCAGGCTCCTGCCCCTGCACAGCAATCAGGGGAAAAGCAACAGAAGGAAGGTAGGTGGTGGTCTCCCTCTTTCCATTCCCTTATTATTTACATGCTGTTTTGCTGCTAGGCCAACTACTACTTAGGGATGTTACTGTTGTGATGACGTAGCTTTTGGTAGCCCATGTTTTTAGGACAGGTAGAAAAATGGGTATGAAACTGCTGGCAGCTAACTCAAGCAGATGTGGCCAATACTGGTGCAGCATAAATGACTGTTAACTGGAACAAAAGGTGTTTCTAAGCAGTGTGCAGCGTGGTAGAATGTGGCTTCTGTCAAAGGGAAATCGGTCCTGTGTGATACCACAAACATACAGGGACAGATCACTGAAATAGCTTCTTCTTTGGTCATAATTTAAGGCCAGCAATCCTACGTATATAAGCTATAGGCTGAAAAACAGGGATTTCTGTATAGCTTACGGAGATGTAGTTAGTAACTTTCTAAACTGAATTCTGGTGGGGGTGGGGGTGGGAAAGTATTGCTTCTTTGAAACTTTTTCCTTTAGGTTTTCTAGTGTTCTGGGGCTTTCTTACTGTGTCTGCCATTTCTTTTTCAATACTAGGACTTCAAGTTAAAGCAGAAGAAAGTACCATGCAGTGGTACCAGCAGCTTCAGGATGCTGCTGACCAGTGCATTGCTTCCTTCAGCGCAATCAGCAACTGCAAGGACAACAATGAGGTATGGATAGATGGAAGTACTGTTCAAGAGTGGGTATATTCACCCCCATGGAAGCAGCACAGCTTGCATTAAAAACAGAAAGGTAAAATTTCTGACCTAGCAACTTTTGTTAATAGTCTGCTCATCCAAACTGTCAAAATAATAATCAAGTAGAAATGCTTTAACTGCCTGTTGAAAAAAAAAACCCAATTTCTTCAAGTGGGTGAGCATACTTTCCAAAAGGTGCTATTGAGCAGAACTGTGTTCTGGTTTTGGCGTTTAAAACTGGAAGACAAGTGATCTGGTTAGGCTGCTGTAGAGTCTTAAAAAACAATGGTGTGTCCTACCTTTAGTGAAGTACTTTTCAGAACTGTTTTGTTTCTCTTTTTCATTCATAATTCCTTCTTTGTGGGATTTCTTTTTGTCAGTTTGGTTTATTGAGTCCTTTGTATCTTGATATTACTAAAACCTTGAGCCAGAAAAATGTTAAATAGTGCATTCTGAGCATACACTGTATCTTATTGTTTCCCAGTATTTCTTAGATTAATTTATCATTCCACAGCAGAATAATCAGTATTTGTTGAAGGCTTGAATATTTATTCAGAATGCAAATGAAACAAAACCTGTTAGATACTGTGCATTCAGTCTTATTCTCCGAGCTCATCACATATGTTTGAAGATCCAGTAGATCTTCCTTGAGGCAAAACTAAACTACCTGTCTCCTTTTGTCGCTTTGGAGACTTAAAATTATGTGTGCAAGAACCTGGCATCTACTTGTGTCCAGGAGGGTTTTCTACTCATTATGTTGCAGGTCTTCAAGCTACAAATAAATGTTAAATATACAGTTAGCTATTCCAGTGAACATCTTGACCTCAATTCCATGAGGAATAGACTTCATGGTATATTTTGAGTGAGTTTAATTCCTCTAAAGATCAAGCAGGATTTAGGACTGAATTCTTCTTTTCAGAATTTGACCCACAAGACATGTATCATCCCTGTGAAAGTCTGCCTCTTGACAAGTGCTCTTGTCTGTAAAGTTTTCAACAGTATTTTATGTTCTCCTGCAGGTGAAGAAGATTAAAATGGATTTGCAGAAAGCAGCTACGATCCCTGTGAGCCAGATCTCTAGTATAGCAGGTCAGGAAAACACTAAGAATTGAATCTATTTGAGTTGCAGTTTCCTATAATCATTTTAGCAGGACCTGATGTAGCCAGTATTTCTGTGCTACACCTGCACCCTACAGCTAGTATACCTGCAGTTCAAGCCTTTGCAGCGTAATGTTTGCTTATGTTTTGAAGGTCTCTTGCCTCCCTTAGAGGCATCTTGCTTCATCATGATTCAGTTTCTTTAATCAGATGCAGCAAAGGAGCTGTCTGGGGTGCCTTGCCCTTCAGGATGTTGGTCTAGCTTTGTGAAGCTGATGTGGTCTGCCTAAGGCTTGGCAGCTGCTTCCTAATTTTCTCTGTATGCATTTTTGATGTATTCACAGGCTCTCAACTGAGAGAGATATTTGACAAGATCAATAACCTGCTCTCTGGAAAGTCTGTTCAGAGTGGAGGGCGAACTGTATCAGTGACTCAGCATCCACAGGGTCTGGATTTTGTTCATTACAAACTTGCAGAGAAATTTGTGGTGAGTAATTGTTCTCTTTATTAAGGTGATGAAGGTAGCTAGTAGTTTTTACATATTGTCCTGTCTCTTCCTACTAAGAGCAAAATTACTAGGAATTTAGCTTGCAGGTGTTAATAATGCTCAGATTGATTAGAGGAAATGCTTTTTAGAT